TAGTAGACTTTGACATCTACCATTAGCAAAGGGTGTGAACCCATTCTTGTTGACTGTAGCAGACTTTGACATCTACCATTGACAGTATAAAGGTTATATAAGGGTTGCGGCCCTAGTCCTGAAAATATTCTGCAAGCATTTTGCATGCTTTCTCTTAGAGAGAGGAGGTGTTGACACCTCAACTGCTTTCTACTACTAGCTTTTCAAAAATGGAAAGGTTATCATGTCTTCATAATTTTAATCAATTGTTTTTTCACTTTATATGGTTTAAAAGTACCTCAGCCTGTGTCAGCAGTCACCATATCTCGCATAGCTCGAGATGATAAAGTAAAACCAAAATCAAAACCAAAAAATGTTTTGTTTATAAAAACTTATTGAAATACCACCAGTGTCACGATCTTTTAAGGGGTTCTTAGCACTCCATACTCCATAGCAATGAAAACAAACCAGTAAATCTTGCTTCATAATTAAAAGACAAAGATCTTCATCATTTCAGGTCAAACTGGTTCTTAATAGAAACACCGTATTTCACTCCTCTTTTTGGAAGATTTAGGATCTAATATCTGGGAAATGATTTCTTCTGTAAATGAAATCACGATTTTGTTCAGTAGATTGGGACAACCCACTACAATACCTTCTCACCATTATAAAAACTCAGGGAACATTCAACATGCTGTATCTAAATGTATAGTATCAACTTGAAAAAACAAGCAAATGCATTACAAACAAACTTAGCTAAGGAATCAATCACACAATCACACCACATGCATTGAATGCATCACTTTCAAATTCAGAACCAATTTTTTACTTATAAAATAGTTTTTAACATTATTACATTAGAAAAATAAAAAACAGGGATAGTCAGAACGAAAGGATAAAACTTATTTGCAACCGTTCAAAATGTTTACTTTTCCAACTTGAAATAATTTTGTGGGTATGTGCTCATGGAACCTCACAAATAAAGTCAATCTTATGAGGATAAAGATGTAATAATGAAATTTTTAAACTTGATGAAATAATCTTGATGCATTCTATAACTCAAGCATTTCCATTTTTACATTTTTTCCTCGGAAGATTATCATATTATATATAATTTCTGAGAAGAATATTAAAAATTTCAACAAATTAAATTTTATTTTTTGTTCTCATAATTTTGTTAAGGTTTGGGAACGGTTTTATAGACCGGGTAGCAAACCCAGGCGATATTCTTCTCTTTAAGAGACGCGCTGCGGATAGAGTTATCAAGGTACTTTATACTTAATACTGCACTGTAAACTATATTGCATATATAATTAACTATCGTTGCCCAGGTTCATCATAGTTACTCCCGCCGTTAATCCTCGCTTCGTCTTAAATATCGATTTGAGTTTTCCTTATATACCCTAAAATCTCAAAACTGAACAAAGAACATTCCCGTGGTATTCCCCAGTTCATCAGTCAAAATTTGTGGCTAATCGGTCATGGGGTTTCTGAGTTATGATCGGACAGACAAACAGAGATTACAACGTTATATGCACTAGCTTGGGAACCCGGCGCTGCCCAGATTACTAATGGTTACTTTCGTCGTTTACCCGCACTTAGACGATTTTACCAGGAAACTTAATTTTTGCTTTAAAAGTCAACGAACTCAAAACCAAGTTAAGAAAATTACCGTGGGTCCCCCGAGTTCCCCAATAAAAATTTTAGGCAAATCGGTCCAGGGGTTCCTGAGTTATGATCGGTCGAACAAACATACATTGTACACTGTACAGGATGGAGATGAAGGGCCAGATGTATTGCTAGGATTGGATACTGGAAAGTCTATGGAAGATTACATCAAACTCTATTTTAAAGAGAAAGACAGCGACAAGGAAATCCTGAATATTAATCTTCAAAGTGACTGTTCACTAACTTAAGAACTACCTGCCTTTTAAAAACACTTTTAAAATTTCTACTTATTAAATCAAGTCTGTTTCAATCGAAAATTATATTTATCTAACAACATTTTGTTTACATATTCTGATCTCGGTGTAAGATGAGTATACTGTCTGTTACAGGGTTAACAGCTGCTGTAGAGAATTACATTCAGAAGTCTGACTCGTAAGATATTAATTATTCATTATTCAAAAATAATGTTTGTTGTTTAAAAATTGAAAATATCTAGTAATTTCTGATTTAATAAGAAAAAATCTAATAAATTAATAACTGATCGATGGTTCCCCTTAAACCTTTGTGTAATCAAGGATGAATGAAATATCCATGTTTTTTAATTTTAAAATTTCTTTAAAGCAAATTTCTGATTTATCCAGTAGAGATCGATGATGAAAATTTTCAGAATTCAACATTTTTCGCGATATCTTCCTTATTATTACTCAGATCAAGGTTAAAAAGGTACCGTTGTAAATCTGATGTTCCATACTAAAAATGGAGGGTCACTTGAAATTTCGTGCTTAGCCCCTTTAATTATGTTTTCCTAATCTAAGAGCAACAGGAACACTTATGTTTTGTTTTCTAATTTTATCTGGTGATTCTGTATTTAGGAATCCAAATAAACTGATTATCATGATGCAGTTCAATAATTTTATCTTTCTGATCAAACCTCTTCTTACTTTCAAAAGCTTTTTTTACCTCTAGGTTGTCAACTTGATTTAATAATATTTAGCCATATTTTATTTCATTGCCTTTTCCTTACCTGATTTTTTTCCAAGTTCTTAGTTTTATAAAACTAAATCTAATCTTTTTTAGTGAAGCTGTTGAATATAACGTAAAAAAGCAGCTCGCCAGAAGACAGGAAACTTAAACAAATTACTTTATCTATTAAATACGCACATACAGTATGTATATTGTATATTACCTGGAAAATTAATTTTTTTATTCGGTTAAATATTTCCCATTTTGAAATGTAAAAGTTAGACTAGTCTAAATCAAGTTAAGCTTTATTTAGCTTGATTTAGCTTTAGGCGCAAAATTGTTTAAGTTTGAGTTTGGGCAGGCGAGGTTGAAGGATACGGAGACGATGAATGACCTGGAGGAAGAGAGGGATATCTCCGCTGCTATAGAGGAACTACAGTCCAGGCTAGACGAGGAGAAGGAGGGGGAGCTGGCCAAACAGGAGTTCGAGGACGCGTCCAGGAAGGTTACTAAAGCTCCTGAACGGAATGAGGAGGAGAAGGAGGATAGCTTTAATGTATCCTCGGATGATATGGAGGAGACCGTCCCTAGCAAGGCGGTGGCTAAGGGAGGACCGGGAAGTAGAGGAGGTCGAGGGAGTAGAGGGGGTAGAGGGACCAGAGGAGGAGGAAGAGGAAAGGAAGGACCTGTTGCTACTGGAAGAGGAAGAGGAAAAACAGAGGCAAGGTAAATGAAAAAATGAATTCACAGGTTGCTTCATTATTCATATTTCTACTGAGGGCGTTTTTCTATATAAATTAAAAAGTATTAGTCCTGGAAGTAACACAAGCCCATCACTTCACTGCAGGCTTTACAGCCTAATGACTGTTTCCTCTGGCATGCCGCATGAATGCCTTATTTTACCTACACCGGACTAAATCTGTATTTAGACCCATTTCCAGTCATTGGCAAAGAAATTTTGCAAGCGTTCTCAATTTTTATTAATGATAAAGCTTTCATGAAAAAAAAAATATTCTACAATTAATGAGCAAAAAGTTGTCTATTTTTACTTATATAACGACGGTAAGTTTGAATATTTTATGATTTACTAAAATATAAGCAGCAATGATGGAAGACGATATTAATATTTATCTAAACCATCGTGATTCTGTTCAAACAAACAATGTAAAATGATTAAATTTCATTTTTGATTGTTTTCTTATTTTATTTTCATTCCAGGGGTGGAATGAAACAAACCACTTTATCCTTCGGTAGCTCACAGTCTCAGTATTCTAAACAACCTGCAGCACAGACTCAAGAGACAAAGAAACCTGAACCAAGGTAAATTTGAAAGCTTGAAAAAATAGCCTTTCTAATCTAAAAATGAAACCCATAAAACTGGAGAATAAGAAGACCACTGGTTGTGAAGTTTCAGTTTATTTTAAGCTTGATCAAAAGTCGTCTTCGTTTTTTGAAAACATAATAAAAATTGATTTATTTTCAAATGAATGTTTCTCAGGTCTTCAAGGGGAAACCGGAAGCAGATGCTTGAAGACAGTGACTCTGATCTGGAATAAACACAATGTACACTTTATCATATACCGTACGGCGTACACCGTGTACATATTCTCTTATGTACCATTTCCTGAAAATCTGTGATTATTTTGACCAAGCCAGTTTTAAGAAGTACAAACGAAAATTCATATTCATACCTCAAATACTTAAATGTATTAGCACAGAATAAATGATATTTTTTTACAACGTTTTAAGGATAGAGAATAAAAGTTTTTGGTTCAAAATGCAACATATTGTAATTTAACAGCAATTGATAATAAGGTATTTTGTTTAAGTAGAAGTAAATAAAACGTTTCACCTTTTTAAACCAAATTAGTTAAACATTCGACATTCGTACATAATATATATTTGTGGTAATTTTTTTATTTTGATTCCCTGCATGGAACTTAATAGGATAGGATACTCTCTCTTTAGTCTTACTGAGGGTTTCCAGCGAATTTGATTGGATAGGATACTATTTCTTCAGTCCCATGCAGGGTTTCCACCAAACTTGATTAGGATAGGATACTCCTTCTTTAGTCTCATGCAGGGTTTCCAGCAAACTTGATTAGGATAGGATACTCTTTCTTCAGTCCTACTTAGGGTTTCCAGCGAACTTGATTAGGATAGGATACTCCTTCTTTAGTCCCATGCAGGGTTTCCAGCGAACTTGATTAGGATAGGATACTCCTTCTTTAGTCCCATGCAGGGTTTCCAGCGAACTTGATTAGGATAGGATACTCCTTCTTTAGTCTCATGCAGGGTTTCCAGCGAACTTGATTAGGATAGAATACTCCTTCTTTAGTCCCATGCAGGGTTTCCAGCGAACTTGATTAGGATAGGATACTCCTTTAGTCCCATGCAGGGTTTCCAGCGAACTTGATTAGGATAGGATACTCCTTCTTTAGTCCCATGCAGGGTTTCCAGCGAACTTGATTAGGATAGGATACTCTTTTTTCAGTCCCATACAGGGGTTCCAGCGAACTTGAATAGGATAGGATACTCTTTTTTTAGTTCTTAAGCATGCAGGGGTTCCAGCGAAAGAGCACTTTCTCGAAAAAATGCGAGCATGTTCTTGTGTATTTCGCGAAAAAGTAGTTTCAAAAAAAAAAACGAAAACCACAAGTGTTGTATAGCTGCACCAATTAATTAAACAAATTTGTGGAATTCTCAGCTCTAACAGCTCAGCATTAGAAATTTTGTATTATATCATAATTAATAATTTCTTTTGCTTTCTTTCAATAAAATTTTGATGAAAAATTCGGAAAAATTCTGCTTTTTTGCAATTTACGCGTTTTTTTTAGTTGCAATTTTCTAATTTCTTATTTCGCGAATGTAAATCTTTTGCTGAATGTTATACAATCTTCAATTTTTTAAAAATCTTTATCCTATGTGTTTTAAAATGTTTTACAGATTACACAAATAAGGCAATAAAGTATTCTTTTCTTTGAAGTCATGAACTTTTGTAAATGCTTTTTGATTAAAAACTTAAGTGTATTCGTATCATGGTTCTATACATAAATACATGTTTCCCTGCATTACAGTGAGACTCAGACTGTAAAATTATAGGAAGACGACTTTTAGACTCAAGTTTTGACTTTAGGTCGATGATTATAAAACACAACAATGGTATAGTGTGCACTGATCATTTCACTATTTTATTTTAGGCTACTGAAAGTAAGGCCATTTGTGTTGTTATACACTTGATACAATATTGCTTTAATGTCGTCTTTCTGGTTTTCCCTGTAGAGAAATCCTTAAAAAATTAGTTCGAAAAAGTTATTTAAACATTTATAGAATGTATGTCGTTTAATGAACGTGTACAGAGTGTCCCAATAAACATGAGAATTCATTGACGAATTCGATATCCTCTTTGTTATGAATTAACAGTGTAATTTCTAATTTCTAAAACCATAATATTATTATGTCTGCTAGAGTTTTTTTAGTGAAAACGCTAAATGACTGTTATGAAGATTTGTCTATATATCTCTGCAAGATGAACAGTGAAGACGGACAAATTTACTCTGTTAGTTAACTGTAATTTTTTTGTTTTACTAAGTACAACCGTATGCATGGTCAAAACATAAACAAATTGTAAACATAGCAGAATTCGTCACTGAATTCCCATGTTTATTGAGACATCCTGTATGAAATCAGTATTTTTTTATATTTATCAAATATTTTTTATTGACTAAGAGTTCTCTTTGTTTTTATAAGAATTTGGTATATTATTGAGCGCAGAGCAAACCCTTCAACGATTAAAAAATGCCGTTTTTTACTTCAAATTCTGAAAATACTCTCGGTACTCCCCTGCGGATACCAAAAAAAGATCATTTTAAAGTTTTTGACTAAGAGGAAATGGATCAAAAAAATGAGGAAACGGACCTAAAATTTCAGGAAACCAATCAACAAATTAAAAATTTTAAAGTTTTTGAAAAAAGCGGAAACTGATCAAAGTATGAGGAAACGGACCTAAAATTTGAGGAAACCGATAAAAAATGAGATTTTCAAAGTTTTTAAAAAAAAGTGGAAACGGATCAAAAATATGAGGAAACGGACCTAAAATTTGAGGAAACAGATCAACAAAATGAGATTTGAAAGTTTTTGAAAAAAGCGGAAACGGATCAAAAATATGAGGAAACGGACCTAAAATATGAGGAAACAGACCTACAAATATGAGGAAATTGATAAAAAAAAAGAGGAAACCATTCAACTCTAAATATTGGGAAACGGATACAAAACATTCGGAAATCCCTTAACAATTCTGAACTTTTGAGGGATTTCCTCGAATTTCTAAAAAAACGGAAATTCCTCAAAAATAATTTTTGATCCGTTTCCGTGTTGAGTCGTTTCCGTGTTGAGGCGTTTCCATGTCACCGCTCTTTGTTCATTTATATGTTTGCTATGGCATGGCCAAACGGAGCTGAATCAAATGGGCTGAATTTTAGTAAGGAAACTCATGCGATACCCTTGGGGATGACATAAGCTAAATAAATCACGTTTTTTGTTTTAATTCGATTTTTAAAATTCCACGGGCAACGCCTGGCACTTCAGATAGTTTTTAATACAAAGAAAAGATTACAAAACAGCGGTGCAATGATTAAAGTAAATTAAATTCGAATTAAAAAAAAAAAAAATTGGTCTCTTACTACCTCCAAACTAAAGCCAAACGAGCCAAGCCAAACATTAGGATGTGCATTCTAAATAGATTTTTCATTCGGACATGGTGGTATATGTATATAATCTTCTTAGTGCACTGAATGAATAGCAAACTATTTTTTTATGTTCTTCACTCTTGAGTTTAAGATTTGAAAAGTGAGAAAGCTCTCAGTTCTATGGGGGCACTGCCCCCTTGCCCCCCCTGTATACGCCCTATGACTCTTATGTGTACCTTTAAAATATCTTTCTTATGCCTAATATCCAAGAAGCCAAATGTTATGAATTTTCATTTCAAATTTTGCCCCCTTGGAAGCTCAGGGGAGGGGCAAATTTTTTTTTGCGCTTTGCCCGAATTTCGCCTCCCCCCCCCCAATTTATTTCTGTTCACACCCTTTTCTTTATATATATTTATATTTTTCTCGTCTGAGATGGCTGAGTGGAAAATTTTAAAGTTAAAGCAATAGCCAATAATTAACATATTTTTTGAGTACCTTTGACAGTAAATTGGTACCGATTTTAAAGTAGAACTTTTTTCGCAAAGTTTCCTGACTTTTACAATTTTTAATCAATTAAAATATATTTTTGAATTTACTTATTTCCACAATTAGTTAAAGTGCGCCGTTTTCTGCAGATTTTGATACTTTATAGATGTTATAATTGCCAGCATGTATTAAAGTTAGGTTTAACTTATTGTTTTACTCGCAACAAACATTTTTTTCGCAAAGTTTTCTCGATTTTACAATTTTTAATAAACTAAAATATATTCTAGAATTAGTTATTTTCACAAAGTGCGCGGTTTTCTTAATTTAGGGTGGTAAAGTTTCAAATTGGAAAAATAGTTGTCCCTGTTTATCAACTTTAAACTAAATTTTCACCCCTTTCTAAACAACATTTTGTTATTTTTAAGTTATATATGAATATATATATCTTTATAATTTGATATAAAAGTATAAAAGATATAAAAAATTTGATTTTTTAATGTTAGTTTGAACAAAAATGTTGAAAAACTAAACAGATTTAAAGAAATTTTCGAACGTTTGAAGCCATATCTTTGAAAATTCTGGGTCTGCGAAAATTCTGTTTTAAACAATTACACATCAGGACTCAATGAAATGATGCAATTTTTTTAATTTAAAAAAAAACAATGCGTTTTTGTGATATTAACTGTTAAAGATGCAAAGGAAACACAAATTGAAAGAAATCCCGTGCAGTTCACTTGACGGAGGAGAGGATACCGCTCTCTATTTGGTTCTCTTCAATAATACTTATATTCAGTCCGACCCATTGGGCCATTTTACATAAAATTCGATAAACACATTTGGAAGAAGCCACATCTCTATCAATTTATCATCAATCATCATGTCTGTTGAAGGCGAAGCTGTCGCTCCTGCCGTCGCTACACCCAAGAGCAAGAAGGTTGCTGCCAAGGAAACCTCTTCAGTCAAGAAGGTTAGCGCCGCTCACCCTACATTCGCTTCCATGATCGCTACCGCTGTGACCGCATTGAAGGAGAGGAATGGATCATCTCGCCAGGCTATACTCAAGTACATTCTCGCCTACTTCAAACTTGGAGATGCTGCCAAGGCTCAGGGTCATGTACGAATTGCCCTGAGGAAGATGATTGCTGCCAAGAAGATTGTTGCTGGCGGAGCTGCTGGAAAGAAGGGATCTGGATGCTTCAAGCTTCCCGCACCAGTCAAAGCTGAGAAGCCTGCAAAGAAGACTGTCAAGAAACCTGGAGATAAGAAGGCTGCTAAGAAACCTGCTGTGAAGAAGGTTGCTGCAAAGCCAGCTGCCAAGAAGGCAGTCAAGAAGCCGGCTGCCAAGAAATCAGCCGTAAAGAAGCCGGCTGCCAAGAAACTCGCCGCAAAGAAGGTTGCTGCTAAGAAGTAGAATGTATACCACTAGTATTATAAAGTTTTGATATTCACTCTGAAGAATCCATTTGTAAATATGAAAATTTGTACCTGACAATAAAGTGTTATATTTGTATTTTTCTTGTTCTCTCTCTCTCTAGTATAGTTTTATGAAAGTTAAGTCGTGCCTTACAGCATAAGCAGTTGTTAAATACAATATTATCCACAGATCAACCATATACCATCTAGATATCACCCACATAACATCCACATATCGTCTAGATATCATCCAGATATCACCCACATATTATCCAGATATCATCCAATTATCACCCACATTTCATCCAGATATCACTCACATACCATCCAGATATCATCCACATTTCATATAGATATTATCCAGATATCAGACACACCCTCCAGATATCACTTACATATCGTCCAAATATCACCCGGTCGATATTTTTTACAACCCCCCAACTTGGTGAAAAGTCGAGTTTTAACCCATATATGGCACGACTATTGCCGGTGAAAACTCCACTTTTAAACTCGATTAAAACTCCACTTCTCATCATCCAGATATTACCCAGATATCATCCAGAAATCATCTTGGTGAAAAGTCGAGTTTTAATCCTTGTATGGCACGACTATAGCCGATTAAAACTCCATTTTTAAACTCGATTAAAATTTAAAACTCCATTTTACCCATTTAGATTGTTCCCTTTGTATCATTCGATGAGCAAAAATGATGGATATATCCTTGCTTTGTCTTCTGAAATTTTTAAAATAGATTTCTCTTTAGAATTTAATTTTAAGCTTTCTAAATTCTTTTACCTCCACTTCTTAATTATTGAAAATATAAAGCATCATTCTTATGTCAGAAAAAGGAATTCTAAATTTTATATTTTTCCCAAGTATGTTAAGATGTAGGTTAAGATGAGACGTGCTAAACACTTATGTTCCATCATTACTAAATAAAACTCGGTTTAATTCTGTATTAAAGTTTGATTGTATTGTTCAATAATTTACGGCATAATTTACAGCTAAAAAAGACAATAAGCTTTTTCCAAAAAGGACGTAATAAAAATTTTCAATTGCTTAATTTATGATAGTAAGTTACAATATTATTTGACTAAAAACAATAGTTTGAATATTTTATTCACAAGTTAATAATGTATACCAGGGGCGTATACAAAGTATTTACGGGGAAGGGGGTTGGGGGTTGGTCAAATATATTATCCCCCATTCCCTCCACACCCCGGGGCCCGGATACGTCCCTGATGACTTTTATTCGCTCTAAAAGCGTTCATGCACAAATTCAGGGAGAATTTAACTCGTAAATTTTATTTCTTCATTTTTTTACTTAAAAATATAATCCATTCTCAAGTTCTGGTTTATGTGAAAAACTGTATTACAGTCAAATAATTGAAAATTTGCATTCTTAGAATACAAAACACCATAATGATTATCAAAAAAGTATTAATGTAAGCAGTTCCAACAAATGTATATTGGAATAGTTGGAATTGGAGTGTCATTTAAGAAAGAAAATGCAAAGATTTTAAAAACTTATTGATATGGATAAAATGAGCATATATAGTAGATGCCGAAGGTTTGCATAGAAAAGTCAGTCTTTGGATAGTGTGAGTATTTGATTCGCTATTTTAATACATCAAATTTGTCAAAGAATTAAGAGAAAAAGTCATATACAATTTTAGATTTGGCTTAAGCATTCACTGGTTACGGAAGTTCTGAGTTTACAAATGTCGAAACACTTCAATGACTTGTGGGAATCGTTTTTGAAAACGAAACAATCGTTTCTTGTTTAGATATTCGTTTTGGAGATCCTTTTTTTTAAATCTAAACGAAACTCGATTGTTTAAATTATGATCTCCAGCTCAATGATCATGAAGAATATCTATTTTTGTGATCTTCAGCTCAATGATCATGAAGAATATCTATTTTTGTGATCTTCAGCTCAATGAACATGAAGAATATCTATTTTTGTGATCTCCAGCTCAATGATCATGAAGAATATCTATTTCTTATGATCTCCAGCTCACTGATCATGAAGAATATCTATTTCTTATGATCTCCAGCTCAATGATCGTGAATGATAACTATTTCTTATGATCTCCAGCTCACTGATCATGAAGAATATCTATTTCTTATGATCTCCAGCTCACTGATCATAAATAATATCTATTTCTTATGATCTCCAGCTCAATGATCAGGAAGAATATCAACTGTATATAATCTCCAGCTCACTGATCATGAAGAATGTCTATTTCTCATGATCTCCCGCTCAATGATCATGAATAATATCTATTTTTATAATCTCTAGCTCAATGATCGTGAAGAAGGCTACTGTTTATGATCTGTTGATGGTATATTAAGCTCCGTATTCCTATTGATCATTCTGTCCTTGTTCTTGTCAAACATTCGGAATATAAACTCTGCTTCTTCAGCTGGAACCTGAATTTAAAGGAAAGAAATTGAGGCTTTGCTACAAACTCAATTTTTCTAATCCCTTTATCTTTGCAACCAGATGGTGTGAACCTTTTACATTTCAAACTTAGACACCTTGATCCAACAGATTAGAAATATCTAAGGTCTACGACATTGGGTTGCAAAGATATAGGAAATAGAAAAGCAGAGTTTGTGGCAAAGACTCAATTCCTGAGTTTTAGTATTGTAAATAGGGATGGATTAAAGGATCAATTTCAATTAAAAAAAGAAAGCTCGTGAAACTAAGCAATACTTCTTGTTATTTATCTTTACACAAGGATTCTAAACATTTGAAGGGACATATTTTAAAGTTCTCATCTATTCATACAGACTCTTTTATATAATCACGTATATTCCCTTTAATGAGGAGGTTCTCTACCTTGTCCCCTGTGATCTTGTCGAGGGCCTGCTTGAACTCCTTCTCTGTTATCTCCATCTTATCCTTTGTAACCAGTTCCTCCAGCTGATCAACATACGTCAGGAAGTTCTTCAAAACCTGTAAAAAAGGAAGAGTTACAATTTCGAGGCTGTATAAAACATTGCAAAATTGCTCGAAACTTGAAGTATTACACCGCGACATTTGACAATACATTTTATCACTTTTGGACTCAAGATAAATTAATCGGTTTCCTCAAATTTTAGGTCCGTTTCCTCATATTTTTGATCCGTTTCCGCTTTTTTCAAAAACTCTAAAAATCTCAACTTATTGAAACGCACCAAATAGGTTAATTATTTTTGAGGGAACCCATGTGTATCCCGGGAGGAACATAGGCTAAAAAAATAGATTTTTAATTTGAGATTTAAGTTTACTTCAAATTTCGTTTTTTAATTGCACGGGCAACGCCTGGCACTTCAGCTAGAATTAAAATCTGGCAAAGAAAGAAACACACAATTTTACAGCTACAGGGAACCCTGAATGTATATCTTTTGCTGAATGTTATACAATCTTCAATTTTTAAAATCTTTATCCTATGTGTTTTTAAAATGTTTTACAGATTACACAAATAAGACAACAAAGTATTCTTTTCTATGAAGTCATGAACTTTTCTAAATGATTTTTGATTAAAAACTTCAGTGTATTCGTATCATGGTTCGATACATGTGTCCCTGATTATTACAGTGAGACTCAGAAAACTGTGAAATTATAGGAAGACGACTTTTAGACTCAAGTTTTGACTTTAGTTCGATGAACATAAAACACAACAATGGTACAGTGTGCACTGATCATTTCACTTTTTTATTTTAGGCTACTGAAAGTAAGGCCATTTGTGTTGTTATAAAATCAAATACACTTGATACAATATTGCTTTAATGTCGTCTTTCTGGTTTTCCCTGTAGAGAATTGTATTTTTAATCCTTAAAAAAAATATTTCGAAAAAATTATTTAAAAATATATAGAATGTATATAATCGTTTAATGAACGTGTACAGAGTGTCCCAATAAACATGGGAATTCAATAACGAATTCGATATCCTCTTTGTTGTGAATTAGCAGTAATTCCTAATTTCTAAAACCATAATATTATTATGTCTGCTAGAGTTTTATTAGTAAAACGGTAAATGACTGTTATAAAGATTTGTCTATATGTCTCTGCAAGATGAACAGTGAAGACGGACAAGTTTACTCTGTTAGTTAACTGTAATTTTTTTGTTTTACTAAGTACAACCGTATGCATGGTCAAAACATAAACAAATTGTAAACATAGCAGAATTCGTCACTGAATTCCCATGTTTATTGAGACATCCTGTATGAAATCAGTATTTTTTTTATATTTATCAAATATTTTTTTTATTAGCTGTAGAAATTACACAGATTAGACAAAAGGTATAATTTACTTAAAGGTCATACACTTTTGTATATGTTTTTTTGATCTTGATACATGCTCATTTAAACTCTTTTCGTGTATCAAGCCAGATATTGTACGTACTGTGACAGGTTTAAACAAATTAGTACACATATTTAGTCCTTTCTGTGGAATCAGTGATACATTATTTCATCAATATTTTATTAAAATTTTACAGTGAGAACCACAAAACTGTGGAACATGAAGACAACTTTTAGACTAATTGTGCAGTGTGCACAAACCCATTTCACGTAACAACTGATTTTTAAGGTTTTTGTAAAACCATTTGCTTTTTAACAATTTATTACATATGCAGATAATTGTTAGTTTTTTGAACTGGAGGATTTAAAGAAATTCTCATTAAAAAATACATCAGAACTGAAAATTACGAATTTTTTTATTACAATTTTGCAAATTTTCTGTGATTCTGTGATTCAATCTTAATAAAATTTTAGAATTTGATAGAAATAATATATATACACATTTTTGCTTTTCTGAACCTTTGGTTTTGCGACAAAAAAGGTTCACTGAATTTTTTTAACCATTCGATTACAAAAAAATGTAAAATTTCAAAAATTTTAAAAAGTCCCCCTCCCCCCGAATTCTTATACAATTAATTCCTGATCCGTGCAGGGGCAAATCTGTAGACTTAGCATTATGATAGTGGAATCTAGCTTCTATGTTTATAGTTTTTTCTTGTATTTCAAGATGAAAGACGACTTTTTATAATCGTCTGTAATCAACAATATTTTTTGGGGAGCGTGCACACTATATTTCAAAATTGATTAGATAGTATAGNATACTCTTTCTTCAGCCCTACTTAGGGTTTCCAGCGAACTTGAATAGAATAGATATTCTTTCATTAGTCCCATGCAGGGTTTCCAGCGAACTTGATTAGGATGGATACTCTTTCTTTAGTCTCATGCAAGGTTTCCAGCGAACTTTAATAGGATAGTATACTCATTCTTTAGTCTCATGCAAGGTTCCCAGCGAACTTGAATAGGATAGGATACTCCTTCTTTAGTCCCATGCAGGGTATTCAGCGAACTTGATTAGGATAGGATACTCCTTCTTTAGTCCCATGCAGGGTTCCCAGCGAACTTGAATAGTATAGGATACTCTTTCATTAGTCCCATGCAAGGTTTCCAGCAAACTTGATTAGGATAGGATACTCCTTCTTTAGTCCCATGCAGGGTTCCCAGCGAACTTGAATAGGATAGGATACTCTTTCTTTAGTCCCATGCAGGGTATCCAGCGAACTTGAATAGGATAGGATACTCTTTCTTTAGTCCCATGCAAGGTTTCCAGCGAACTTGAATAGGATAGTATACTCCTTCTTTAGTCCCATGCAGAGTTTCCAGCGAACTTGATTAGGATAGGATACTCATTCTTTAGTCCCATGCAGGGTATCCAGCGAACTTGATTAGGATAGGATACTCATTCTTTAGTCTCATGCAAGGTTTCCAGCGAACTTGATTAGGATAGGATACTCATTCTTTAGTCCCATGCAGGGTATCCAGCGAACTTGAATAGAATAGGATACTCCTTCTTTAGTCCCATGCAGGGTTTCCAGCGAACTTGAATAGAATAGGATACTCCTTCTTTAGTCCCATGCAGAGTTTCCAGCGAACTTGAATAGAGTAGGATACTCTTTTTTTAGTTCTTTAGCATGCAGGGGTTCCAGCGAACGAGCACTTTCTCGAAAAATGCGAGCATGTTCTTGTTTATTTCGCAAAAAAGTTGTTTCGCAAAAAAACGAAAACCACAAGTGTTGTATAGCTGCACCAATTGATTGCGCAAACAAATTTGTGGAATTCTCTGCTCTAACAGCTCATCATTAGAAGTTTTTTATTATATCATAATTAATAATTTCTTTTCCCTTATTTCAATAAAAGTTTGATGAAAAATTCGCAAAAATTCTTCTTTTTTTGCAATTTACACGTTTTTTTTGTTGCAATTTTCTCTTTTCTTATTTTGCGAAAATTTCGCATTTCTTTGCGAAACAGCAAAAAGTAAAATTTCGCAAAAAAAAACTCAATTTTTGCATTTTTCACGAGCGAACAAAATGCGAGATTTTCGGCGAAAATTTGTTTTATCGCGAAACAATTTCTTCTTTTCGCTGGAAATCCTAGTCCCACTGCCCTAGCTTGCCAGTAGGAGGGCCTACGTATTAGATAACCTCGCGCGCGCTCCTCAAAAATCATAGTCGTCAGATATAATCCTTATAATTTCTTGATTTTCTTAAACATTTATTTGCAAACTTAAATGTTTGTTTTGTAGTCCCATAATTAACAAAGTAAATTTATAAAATTTTCTTGTAATAAGATAAATTACATTTCTCTTAGACCAATGTTTTCTTAAGTGAAAAAAACTAAATGGTAAAAATTTCTAACAGAAATGATGAGGGAAGCGCCAAAGAAAATGTTTTTTATCTTAATTGATAAATTTTATTATTTTAATTTAAGATGGTCGAAAATCATGATCATGGTCATTAAAAACTGCGAAAGGCTAATATTAAAATTTGGCTGCAGAATTTATACAGGCCGGCTGCATTTATTAATTTATCTTATTACTTATTAACTCTAGAAACAGCGTAAAACTACCCATGGGAAACAGAAATCGATGATACAAATAGATGTCAACTAGTTGTTCTAAACTCCACTTCAAAGCTCTACTTAAATTCGACTTTAACTCCACTTTTGAATTCCAGTCACCAACTGGGTGAAATCTGGGTGCATAAACTCGACTTTTTTAATCCCAGTTTTTACCAAGTCAGTGTGAAAACTGGGAGTTCAAATATCCACTTCAAAATTCCATTTTAACTCGACTTAAACTTCACTGTTGAAATCCACTTATCAACTGGGTAAAATCTGAGTGAATAAACTTGACTTTAACTCAACTTTTTGGAATCCCAGTTTTTACCAGTCAGAGTGAAAACTGGGAGTACAAATATCCACTTTGAAACTCCACTTTAACTCGACTTAAACTCCACTGTTGAAATCCACTTATCAAAAACTCGACTTAAACTCAACTTTTTTAATCCAATATTTTCCCAGTTTTATCCCAGTCATATCTGGGTGTATAAACTTAACTTAAACTCGACTTTTTTAATCCAAGTTTTTACCAAGTCAGGGTGAAAACTTGGAAGTTCAAATATCCTCTTCAAGACTCCATTTAAATGTCGATTTTTTAGAAACAATGCTTTTTCCTGCTAGTTTTGTTTGAATGAGAGATAAAGTATAGTACATGCAAGGTATTTGGACTGTACGCAAGGGCGTATACAGAAATAATTCTAGGGG